GAAGCAACAGTTGGAAATATACCATCTTTATATTCAATAGAGGAAATTTTTTAAAGGAAAATATGAAAGTAATTGTTGTGAACTTAATTTTTTTTTAAATGTTATCTATTTATTATTTATAAATTTTTTTAGCAAATTTTTTGTTATTATTTTTGTTATATATATAACAAAATTTTTACCCAAAATTATATATTTAAAAATATAAATATAAGATAATGTTTATTAATTTCATTATTGGTAGAACACTTCAAATTTTTTAATATTTTATATGCAATTATACTTTCGCTAATAGATATGAAAATAGATACACTAAACATTCAATCAAATCATCATAAAACTTATCTTAACATATACAATTTTACCATGAACTAAAAAATTTAAAGAATATCTTAGAATTATTAACTTAATACATATTGTATATATTTACTTAATTTAGTTTTTATACTTGTATTAGCATAATAAGTTATGATTTTAATTTATAATTACGCGTTAAACTAGGATAACAAATTAAAAGCATTTGCTCACTGCTTTTCAAGTCATTTACTATCATAGCATATAGATTCGTAAATCTATAGCTAAACTTAACAAGTGGAGTCACCACCAATCTTTTTTACTAGGTGTGAAATTCCTTTGGGCCTATTTAGAAATTCCTTTTATTTCTTTTTTTTTTGGAAAGAAAATAATACGATAATTATTTTTCTTGAAATTTTATTTAAATTCTTTCACTATTTGGGACAAATTTAAAGAAATTTCTTACCTAGAGATTTATTAGAAAATTTACCATTTGAAATTTCTAAGAATCTCATCATTGGGTAATTTTCATATATTTTCAACCAAAATTTTATTTTTTATTTTTTTTATTTTTTCTTTTTTAATTGAAAATAAATATTAATTATTGTTATTAAAACTTTATCTAAATTATTCTACCATTTGGGATAAATTTAGAGAAAATTTCTCACCTAGGAATTTTATAGAAATTTACCATTTGAAATTTCTATGAATTCCATCATTGGATAATTAATATTTATTTCCAAAATTTATTTTATTAGTTTTTTATTGTTTTATTTTGTCCCTAAATTCAATCATGCATAAATACTAAAGGAAAAAACAAACACAAAAATAAATTAAAAATACCAAAATAAAAAAAAAAAGATGAAATGGCTCAACTAGGAATTCGACGCAACTTCGCTCCAGGCACAGAAAACGGCTCGAAGGCGCGGTTTGGGGTGCGACTCGGCTTGGCTCGGTAGCTAAGTTTGGCTAGGATGTGGGTCAATGGACCGGGTCAGATCACCCACTGGCAAAACGCGTGGATCATGGGGTTTATTAAGCTCTAAAACGACATCGTTTTAGTATGGTACATAAGGCTAAATCTCAATTTTTTTCACCAGATCCCCATTTTCTCCTCTCTCTCTTCCCCTTTTTTTTCTCTTCCTTTCTCTCTAAGATTAAGAACATCGGTTTAACTTTGGTTGAATATCAATCAAATTATGGGGAATGCCGTCAGAATCTGGGTTGGTTCGTCGGACAATCACAAGAAAATTCAATCTTCATCGAAATCTTCACCGAATTTTGGAAAACCTTATTGAAAAATTTAATCGGTGCCGAAAAAGTCACTGAAAAATTCAATCGATGCTAAAAATTTTTTCCAAAATCTCAAAATTTTCTAGAAAATTTTTTTTCTTTGTTACCCAAAAAACTTTGAAATTTTTTTTCTGCTTTTTGCTTGCTATGTTTCTGTGTTTCGTGTGTATTCTTGTTGTGTGTTTAAGGCTACATTTATATGCATTGATCAAAAGAGTTTTCGATCAATGTTGATTTTTTCTTTGATTGGGATTCAAAATTATCAATCATTGAGTTCAATTCCAACTCTACTAACCCCTAGATTCATTGCAAAATTTTTTTTTATGTTTTTTAAAATTATTATCTAACAAATATTAATAAACAAAACAAAACAAAATAAAATTCAGAACAATAAAATGAGTAAGCCCCATTGGACCAGGCCCAATTGATCTGAGCCTAGACTAAATTGGGTGTCTACGTTTACACTTAAATTATTTCTTACTTTTTTTTATCTACTTTACAAATTACATCATCTAGCATACATTATGATTATTTTCTTTCTATATATACACAAGTCAACAATAATATAATATTAGATAATTGAAAACTTATTAATCATTGAAAACTTAAAAGTAATTAATATATAATTTAGTAGTAAATAATTGATATTTAGTAGTTAATTATTGAAATTTTAAAAGTAAATCAATTGAGAATAATTCATTAGTGATAACTTAATAGTAAATTTTGTATAATTTTATAGTAAAACAAAAATAATTTTGTAGTAAATAATTAAAAATTAAGTCAAATCGATAATTACATAGTAATAGATACTTATAATATAATAGTAAATTATTAATAACTTTTTAGTAAATCGATAACTTAATATTAAATCACAAATGAAGTAGTAGTAAAGTAATACTAACTTAGTTGTAAATCAGTATTAATTTAATAGTAAATTACTTACTCAATGATAATTTTATAATAAATAATCTATAAATTAGAAGTAAATCATCTATGACTTTATAATAAATTATTAGCAGTAAATCATCAACAATTCAAAAGTAAATCATTTATAACTTAATGGTAAATCATTTATAAATTATTAGTTAATCATTGATAACCTAATAGTAAATCAATGATAATTTAGTAGCAAATCAGTTTCAACTTAATAGTAATTAATTGATAAGCTTAATAGTAAATCATAAATAACTTAATAATAAATGAATAATAATTTAGTAATTAATCATTGAAAACTTAAAAATAAATCAATATAATGTAGTAGTAAATCATTTATGACTTAATGGTTAATCAATGATAATTGAATGATAAATCATAGATAATTTACTATAAATCAATGATAAACTGATATTGAATTACGAATAATTTAGTATAAATTTTTGATAATTTTGTAGTATATAATAAAAAACCATGTAGTAGATAAATGACAACATAATAGTAAATATATAAAAATATATTAATAAATAATTGATAATTTAGTAATAAATTATTGATAATTAGCATTATTAAATCACTAATAACTTAGTTATAAATAAGTAATAATTTAATAGTAAATTGTGATAATTTAATAGTAAATTAGTTAATCGTTGATAAATTTGAAGTAAATTATCAATAAATTAGTAGTAAAGAAGTTATAATTTTATAATAAATCATCATTAACTTAATCTTAATTCATCAACAATTTAGTAGTAACTCATTCATAAATTAGCAGTAAATTAATGATAATTTATTAGTAAATCATTGATAATTTAGTAATAAATAATTAATAACATAATAGTAAATTAATGATAATTTAATTATCAATCATTGATAACATTTTATATATATTTGAAGTTATTAGAAATTGAATCTTGGTTACCAGCAGAAAAGAAACTAGAACTTTCATCTTGACAGACTAGGGTAAACCTACCATAAATTTATTTAGCAAAAAAAATTGAGTAAAAAAATTTTGAATTTGAATGAGCAATAATACTATTATATTAAAAGAAAATTATTTTATACCATAATGGAACCTCCTCTTTGTTGCGAGAACAATTATTATATACATATATATATATATATGATGGCTTAAATTTTATCAACTATTGCCAAAAGTGTATTTAAATTACCAAAATTACATGAACAATTATTAGAATTATATTAAGAGGTTATCAAAATTTTTTTAAAAATTATTAAATTTGTAACAATGTTTTAAAAAAGTATATCATAAGTTACTAAGCTAATATCAAAGGTATCTAAATTGTATAAAAAATCATTGATAATTTTATCAAAGGTTATGATACTTTTAACAAAAGCTACCAAAATATAGCAAATGTCATTAAAATCAAAATTATATCAACAATTAACAAATTTTACTTATATATTCCAAAATAATAATAATAATAATAATAATATAATAATAATAATAATAATTATTATTATTAAAAAAATATTTATTAAATTAAAATTTTAAAGACCAAAATTACACATGCATCATGTATGTGTCAAAAATTAGCAAAAAAAAATGTATCATACTTAATTTGTTAGATACTAATCCTTAATGAGAAGAATAAGATCAATATTCCAAGCAAAAGCTTATGCCATAAACACAAATTATATGTTCCTTTTTTTTAAAAAAAATTTTGAAATAAGGTTTAGGTAAGTGTATATGTGTGTTTTTTTTTTTTTTCTATACAAGCATTATACACACTATCTTTTAATACTAAATTTTACTGTATTTCGATAAAATAGTTTTTAATAAAAATTTCATAGCAAGCTTTTAGTTTAATAACTATAAACTATGAGGAATATAAGTTGGGTTATACATTTGAACCCAAATTTTTGTGAGCATCTTAGAATTTGACGTGGAAAAAGAAGATTCATTGGGATTTTGACACGTAGTTTAATATAATAGAGATATTTATATAGATATATATATATATATATATATAGTTTGTCCAATTTACAAGTGTGTGTGTGTGTGTATATATATATATATATATATATACACACACACTTGTAAATTGGACAAACTTACCAAAAATGGAACAATTGTCAAGACTGAAGTTGTCATCTCTGTTAGTGAGAAAGGAAGACTAATTGTGAGTTATTATAACTTGAACGAAATCCTGCTGTCCAAATAATAGTTCCTCTATCTTTTTTTAACACTGCAAGGAAGGGAAAGTTTGCTGTTGAACTCATTATTTGAACACTCCATTATGTTCAAATTTCTTCCAAAAGATACAGTTCTTTATTGCAGAGAAGAAAAAAAAAGGAATCATATGTCAAGTAAATCTTTGGGTGAGTAAAATTATGTTTGATCCATACTTTTTTAATATTTACTTGAAATAAATTCTATATATAGTGTAAGAAATATCATAATTTCACTAATTTTCAAAGCAATTGTATAATAATAATAAAAAAAGTAGACTCACAGTTGATCAAACAGCTTGCTTCCATTGGTCGTTGTGGTCATCCCAGAACTTGAGGAAGGGTACAAGGACAGTCTTTGAATGGGGATGGTCCCACTCCACTGATTCCCCCCATTCTTTTGGATACATGCGGATTTCCTTGAGAGAAGGAGCAGACGGTTTTTCCTTATCAAGGCTGTCAAGCAGGGGAAGATACAGAGGAATCCGCTTTAGCTTTGGACAATTCCATATAAGAATGTGTTGGAGAGAATCACAAACCATTAATCCATTTTTACTGCAAATGCTCTTCAATTCTGGTAAATTCTCCAAATGCAATATCCTTAATTTGGGAAGAGAATATTTGATGGTACCCATTCCTTCTTCCTCTGATACTATTATTTCCACCATTTCCTTACAATCCTCAACAATGATCTCTTCCAAGTTGTGCAGAACCCACTTAGCTTACAACAATTTCTTTATTTTTCCACAATTGAATGGATGGATTTTTTTGAGGGAGGAAAGTGTGCCTATTAATGACTCTCCAATTATAGCCTTCAAATTGTGCAAACTACTTAGATATAGTGACTCAAGTGTTTGAAGTTGACCACCTGATGAAAAAATGGACTCCAACTCCTCACATTTGTTAAATGTACATTCCTTCAAATCAGTTGCATCTTTCAATCCACAAATATCGTTTAAACTTCTCATACCTTTGCATTCAACAACTGCTAATTTCTGAATATCATACGGAAGTATAATTCCATCTACAGAATTAATATCACAACCCTTAAATCCAACCATTTTACTATGATCCATTAAACCATGAAAACTCAGGTGACTCACCCAAATGAAGTATTTACGAAGTCCTTTTCTCTGACTAGAATACGTGTTCAAGTCACCCAAGTTACTAAAGCAACCTCCAAAAACTTCCAACTTGTTCAATTCCCTTATCTCTTCCGCTCCTGTTGATGCTGGATGTATTGCCAAACACTGAAGACGACACAATTTCAACAATAATCCACTAGGGATTTCTTCTAAATTATCAGTAAATCCAAGATTGAGATATCGAAGATTTACCAACATTTCCAAACCTTGAGGGATTTCCTTGATTGAAGTTCTTCCAAGGTCCAATTTCTTCAAAGCTTGAAGCTTCGATAAAGATGGCAAATTTTCTAAACTGTCACAACCATACAACAAAAATGTAGTGAGATTCTCCAGATTAGAGATAGAATTTGGCAACTTAGTAAGGGGATATAAGGAAGGTCAACAATCTTATGATTAGGAAAGTGCACAAAGAAAGATTCTGGAATTTTTTGCAATGAATTTCTTGAGAATACTATAGGGGTTTTGGTTTTTAGTGACGTTTTTTTTTTAACGTTTAGCGGCATTTATAAATGCCATAAAAAGATTTGAGGCGTTTGTGAAAAACGCCATGTAGAATGCCGGCTATACACGCATCGCGATAAATAGCGGCATTTTTAAAAAAATATCTCAATATTAGCGGCGTTTATATATAAAATGTCACAATTTTAGTGGCATTTTTATCTTTGAGACATCGCTAAATTAGTGACGTTTTTATAAGAAAAAATGCCGTTGCTTTGGTGGCATTTGTAACCGAAAATGCCACTACTTTAGAGGTGTTTGAATATGAAAATGCCTCTATATTAGCAGCATTTGTATCTTTTAGTCACTGTTAATTCAGTGATGTTTTTATGAGAAAAACGCCATTGCTTTAGTGGTGTTTTGTATAAAAAAAAATCACTCAACTAGCAACGTTTGCTGGTAAGAGCGCCGCTACTTATAGTGGCATTTTATACTACAAACGCCACTAAATTATTCATTTAGCAACATTGTTGAACACAAACGCCACCATTATGTAAAAATGTATTTTTTTAATTTCTTTTAATAAATTTATTTTTATTAAAGAGCTTAAATTCAGAAATTGAAATTTATATTAACTTAATTCACGTTTAAATATACATCTAATTAATACAAAGTTTAATAATTAGTATAATAACATTAAAATATTTTTATAACATTAACAAAATAAAAAATTAAAATGTATGAAATAGATGACTGCATACATTTTGCTGGCTGCCAATGGAAGAAGAAAATTTTCCACCTTGGTCACTAGCGTGCTAAAAAACCTATTGAATAATATCATACAATTTTTAACACTTCATTGTTAGCTTTTTATATATTTAAAAATTTAAATATTTACTAAATATAATACCTGAGTTTGTGGAGCACCAAGATCATTTCCTGGAAGTTATTGTTGCACAAAATTTATAAGATGATTAAATTGATCATGCAACTGCTAAAATTTAGCACACCCTTGCTCCATTTTAGCACGTTCTTCTTCAATTTTGGCATGCTTCTATTCTCTTTCTACTTCCATTTGCTGAAAATGTTGTTGCATAGTTTGTAACTCCCCTCTCAATATTGAAATATCTCATGAAGATTGCCTTGCCGAGAATGTAAATTGTTGAGAGCTATGTCCATAGTAGGCAGACGGTGTTGGACCCAATCCAAGGTAGCGGACCTATCCATGCTTTTTTTTTCCAACAACTTCTATGAATATTCGATTTTCTATTTCTTACATGTTAAGAGAACCATCAGATGCTACTTCAATTTCAACAGCCATTTTCTCTTTTGCTTTCTCTTGTGAATTTGTCATATACAACTATCGAGTATAATGATTAATTGATTATATGTTAAAAAGAGTAAATATTTACTTTTTGTTAAAATAGATGATACAAATTATCGTAATTTCTTGTGTTTTGACATTCATGTAAGATTCATCCTTTTTTGTGTGTTATACAAAAAGGTTTCACACATCCAACTGTACCGCCCATCTCATTCTTCTATACAAAAACATATGTTATTTGATATGATACATATCAACTACAATTTATTCATGTATATCAAGCCTGTCAATCAAGTATTAAAATTTCAAATAATTTTAATCTCATGTATTTATATTTTGGCCTCGTAACAACACAATAGTCTTAAACATATGCAAACAATAAAATCATTTTGGGCTTTCACACATATCAATCATGGAAACCAAATTCAATTATTTTCTCCCAATTTAATATACGTAAACAATAACTTTCATACATATCATTTGTGTCAACTAAGTTCAAAACTTTTGATAGGTTTAATATCATGTATTGAAACTATCAAAACTATTAAAATAAAACAATAACTGTTAATTTGCATATTTATCTTTTAACGGTAGAAAAAGTTCATTCATTGGAATACGTTTATTATCATAAACTTATGATTTCTTTTTGCTTTCTTGCAAAACTTTTTGATCCACTTGTGTGGCTATATTTATGTTGCTTTCTGCTACCAATCCCAATTTATTCTCTTTCCTGTCATAAAAAATAATTGTGCATATGATAGAAATACAAATATTACCAACTTAAACCATAAAACACTTTCATCATTTCATTCTACTATACAAAGTTATAAACTAGTATCTCTCATTTTCTTGAAAACCAAAATCTAACCAGTTGCTCATATTGCCACCTAATCACATTATGAGGTAGATTTTCCATCATCACCTTTACAGTAGTATTTCAATCGAAATACTTATTCTTCAAACTATGCTTATAATCTTTCCATTTCTTTCCCAATAACTTAAGCACAAATGAAGTTGGTATTTCAAGTACAAATCTTGACTGTAATAATACAATAAGAAAAGTTAGAATAAGTAAACAATATGTAAAATAAAATTTTTTTTATATCTAATTAATTATACTAATACCACAATAAAGTTTAACGTATCGACCTTAACTTCTTCTGGAACTTTATGCCATGTTTAATAATGAATAGGCAATTTCATTCCATTACGGGCTACAATGCCTAGAAATTCAACCAATAGTTGAGCCTTTTCACCAATTGGTTACCTATCAGAGTTTGTAGATACTACAATACGCTCGTTATGAGTTAGTGCAAATAATTCCTTCAAAGTTGTCCGACCTTTGGTCCTCCGTTAACCATTATTATCAACTGCAACAAATATAAAATATATTTGTAAATTCACAATACTTTTATCATTATACTCGAATTCTAAAATTGGAGTATATCATACCAGCATTCAAATTTAAAGCATAATCAATTGATGGGGTACTATCTAAAATTAGACCTCCCGTATTGCCAGATCCAATATCAATTGAAGGGTGAAAAGTGACGGAGTTAGATTAAACAATATGTTCATTTCCCTCCAAAGGATTCAGTCCATAGCCAATATCTACAAGTGCCGCAGACGGTTTTGAACTAATATCTCTTATATGTTTTCCTTTCAACCTACTTTTTCGCATTGTAACTTACCTACATCATAAAAGCGAATATAGAAAAAATATTAGTTTAGAACATATATAAAGATATTGACAATTTAAGAAATCAAAACCTACGATAGATAAAAAACATATCGATTTAATTAAATCAGAAGATAATGTATGATTTAGAATACAATAATTATACAATAGCGAATGTCACATTATTTACATATTATCATTTACTACGTTATGTCTTAAACACTTGAATTACAAATTATAGATACACTATTTCATGGTTCGTAAACATCTTTACTAATATCTTGGTGGACCCACTGAGCATAGGTACTGGAGATATTTTCATCCAAGTTTTGTTCAGTAAAAAGATAACATTCTGTTCCATGTTCAACATCATCTTTGGTATCTAACCTCATATCAAATAAGTCTCTAGATGTGTTTCGAAGAACAACAAACCAACCCAATTCTTTGGGATCTTCGGAGTAAAATACTTGTTTGACTTGAGATGAAAATACATAAGATTTATTAATGAGTTGTTGTCCAGTGTGAATTAATCGAGAAAAATTCACAAGTGTTAATCCATACTGATCTTACTTAATACCCCTGCACTATTCACATCAGCCCAATCACACCGAAATAAGACAACTTTCCATTTGCCATAATAATCCAACTCAATGATGTCATTAATCATGCCATAATAGTCAACATTTCCCTTTAAAGGGTTTGTATCCCTAGCACTAGCATAGCTAGTAGTTGATGAAGTCACAACAACTCTTGAATTTTATGTACTTTTAAATCTCTCATGGGATTTAGTGTAAAATCTAAATCCATTGATGATGAAACCTTTGTATTGTTTCACAATGTGGTTCTGACTGTGTGAAAGACACTTCACCTCTTCACTAATAAGCTTTCCACTCTAAACCTATAAAAGTGAAATAAATATATATGTTATTAATGTTATTTATATCGTAAGCATTCTATGTAGATTTCTCATAATGGGAAGTATGGCATTACTTACAGTTGCTCCTAACCATTCATGAAAGTTTTCAGCAAACAACTTATCAAGCTCTCGAGGGTTTGATCATCGATAATGTGCAGGATCTCTCAAATTATTTCTATGCTCACTATAAAGTATCATGATAAAGTATTAACAATAAAAAAAAGACAATAAATTATGCTTAATATAATGAATAATTTCCTTGCTGCAAAACTTACGTATGAAACGATTCAATTGAGTCATGATGAAAAAGAACATATCAATATGCTTGTGCCTAAGATTTATCATCTAACTCCACCAATTCAACTTTGCCTATGGGTTGTCCAAAACTTTGAAAAAGATAGTTGTAGGCAGAGTCTGTATGCTGCATACCAACATTTCTCGATGGTATATTAAATCTCATTTCAATATCTTCCAAATAACGAGAACAAAATATCATACACTCTTCTACTAAATATCCTTTTGCAATAGAACCTTTCGGATAGCGTTTGTTATGACAATAAGACTTTGACCTCCCTAAAAACCTATAGCATAAAACATTAGTCATATGTTATTTTAAGTTGAATGGCTTGATCATCAATAAAAACGTAATCAATCTATTAACAAATAATTCCATTCAATAAGATACATCCATCGATAATAAATCGGCCTATTGACTTTTGCTTCATATGAAAGGTGGATAACCAAATGCATCATAATAGTAAAAAAGTTTGGAAGAAAGATCTTCTCTAAATGGTATAAAGTAATCGTGGCTCGATCTTGAAGTTTATCAAGCTTTTCCACATTCATACATTTTTGACATAGAGATTTAAATATGTTACTTAATTTAATTACCACAGAAGAGACTTGTTTTGACATTGATGAACATAAAGTAATTGGAAGTAAGTTTTGCATCAAAATGTGATAATCATGTGACTTCAATGAAAAAAGTTTTCACTCCTTCAAATTCACACATTTTGATATATTTGACGCATAGCCATCCAAAACTTTGACATTTTTCAAAACCTTGCAAAACACATCTTTTTCAGCTTTAGAAATCCCAAAACAAGTAGCAGGCAATCGATATTTACCATTATGAAGCAACTTTGGATGAAGGTTTGGGCGAATCCCCATATCAACTAGGTCAAGCTGACTCTTTAAGTCATCTTTGGATTTTTATCCACTTTGAGAATTGTCTCGATAAAATTTTCATAAATATTTTTCTCTATGTGCATCAAATCAAGATTATAGCGTAATAAATTATATTCCCAATAAGATAACTCAAAAAATATACTTATTTTATTTCACAAATCAAACTCATTGGGGTATCTGCTTCATCATCCTCTTCATCACTTTGAACATCAAGATCATCAACTTCTGTATGACTATCACAAACTTGCATAATACAAGGCCAGACACCTTCAAAGATGTCCCTCACTCTTTTCTTTGATGGAGTCATTTTTTCATAAGTGAAATTGATATCTTTTAACTTTGACAAAATATTAGACCCACTAATGGGTAAAGGTAATCTCTTCAACTTTTTAGTTCCATTAAAGAGATGTTTTTGGAATCTAAATCAATGATTATCATCTAACCATCGATAATGTCATATATAACAAAACTTCTTATCATTAGGTAACCACGTCGAACATGTCTATGCAACACAACATGGGCAAGCATAATGACATTTTGTACTCCAACTAGATAAATTCACATAAGTAGAAAAATTATTGATAGTCCATAATAAAACAGTACGTATATTGAAGTTCTTTTCTTTTGATGGATTATGGGTCTCAACCTTTTTCATAATTGCTTTAACTCTTTAATAAAAGGTTTTAAGTAGATGTCTATATCATTACCCGGATCTTTTTCTTCAAGAATTATCATAGATAATATAAATGACTGTTGCTTCATAGCAATCCATAGTGGTAAATTGTAAGGAATCAATAGAACTAGCCAAGAACTATAAAAAGTACTCATCATTTTAAACGGGTTGAATCCATCATATGCTAGTCCAAGCATAACATTTCAAGGATCAGACGTATAGTCTAAAAACCTAGAATGAAATGATTTCCATGCCAAAAAATCTGTGGGATGCCTTAATGATCCATCATTCATCCACTTCTCATGATGCCACCTCATTGAATCTATAGTTTTAGAAGACATGAAGAGTCGTTGAAGTCTTGGTATTAATGAAAAATAGCGTAAAACTTTAACAGGCTTATTTTTGACACATACCTCATCACTATCATCGTTTAACCTTTCATCGAGGTTTTTGTCCACCTAATAAGAAATACCACACAAATGACAAGATTCTTGATTTTTTCTATCCCCTCAATATAACATGCAATCATTGGGACAACTATGAATTTTCTCATATCCGAGACCTAAATTCTTAATCAACTTATTTGATTCCTTACAAGATTCAAGGATTTTTGAAAAAGGAAACATTTTTTTCATAAACTGAAATAATAAAGTCAGAGAGTTTCCTGTCCATCCATATAAGCATTTCAAGTGAAAAAGATAAACACAGAAAGACAACCTTGAATGCTTTGATCCCTTAAAAAGTTTTTCATTCATCTCTTTAAGCAACTTATATAACTTTAATGCTTCTCATTTAGGTTATTGGTCACGTACTCCTATCCCAGGGTCACCAAATTCATGCATTTCAATATTGAACTGATTAAATCCTTCATTTTAGGGAGAAAGATTATGAAAATGTTGGTTATGAATGTTAAAAGCATCTCTAACATGCCTTTAATGTCATTTGCTATAAAAGGATCATGTTGCTGTTGGGAAGCCTTTAAAGTTGAAGGAACTCTAGTGGAAAACCTTGACAGTATAGACTATCCATGAAAATACCAATTAACATATCCCGATAAAAATCCAATACAAATTAAATGTTCAAAAACAACTTGATGCATTTGCCACTCGATATTAGCACACTTCACATATGGGCATAATATCATATTATCTTCACTTGTATTCTCAAATACAAAATTAAGAAAATTTTTCACTCTATCTCTATACTATTGACTTAATCTTGACTTTTGTTTCTAACTCTTATCCATTTAGTACTTGCTACATTATTAGACCAAATGTATATTAATAATTTATATGAAAATGAACATGTATAATACTTAAGTTTACTATGTTTTAAATAAAAGATAATAACAAGACCAGTACTTACACAAAATGAGAACACCTTGTTGTGAAGTAATTTATCAGCTACCAGAGCCTTTGAATGTTAAAACTTTGCTGCTAATGTAGACAATACCCAAAAGTATTGGTTGTTGGGGTTGACATAAGGTAAAATAAGGCGGGTTTCGGATAAGATTATTTACACAAAAAAGAAAACCATGAATTGAAAAAGCTAAAGGAATAGTCGAATGAAGTAAAAGCTAAAGTAAATAAGTAATAAATAGTCGAACTAGGGTTCTAAAAGACAATGCTTGAATACTAAAAGCTGAAGGAAAGAGAAAGAAATTGTACTTAGTCTGGAAAGAGAAATAGCATAATAATGAAGATAAAGCTTGAAGTTAGTGATTGGATGCACTAAGTTTGGGAAGATTTTTATTAGACAGGATTATGGAAGGCGTTTACTAAGAAAAACACCTACAATAATTTCCTTATAAATATTTTTTGAATATATTATAAGCACCTTCAACAGCATCATAGTAGAATTGTTTGGGACTATTAAAGGTGTTTAGGCCATAAAAAATACCGTCAATACTTCATATATAAATTTTTTTTGTATTTATGGAAGGTGATTTTTACATAATACACCTTCAATAACTTTTTCATATCAGTGAAGGCAGTTTTGTGCAAAAAATGCTTTCACCGTTTGGGTATATTAAAGGCGTCTTCTGTTGAAAATGCCTACAATATTACATAACTTAAATTTTAAGGGCTTATTAAATGTTAAAATTCCAGAAAAATGTCTTAACTAATTTGTTTCATTCTTTTAAGCAATTTACTGAAGGCATAATCCAGTGCAAAATGCCTTCATTATTTCAAAGCTCAAATTTTATAATGAATAGTGAAGGTATTTATCGTAAAAAAATGCCATTACTAAATGCTTATATTTTATTTTATGCATTGAATAATTTCCAAGTGCCTTTATTTTAAGTCTTCTACTGAAAAATGGTAATTGAAGGCATATATTCAAGAAAAACACCTTTAAACATCCTTTTTAGTAATTATTAACAGCGTTTTCTACAGTAAAATACCTTCAATATACCACGATGGTTATAGAAGGTATTTATTCAAAAATATGCCTTCAATATACCTTTAAACTTAGTAATCCATTACGGAAGGTGTTTGTTAATAATAGACGCCTTCAATATTTTTCTTCTAAAAATTTTGGGCATTATTAAAGGTATCTTTTACTGTAAAATGCTTTCAATATACCACCACACAAATTTTAACACGGTTATTGAAGGCGTATATTCAAGAAAAATGCTTTTAATAATTCCTATTAGATTTTGCAGATAATTAGTGAAGGCGTTTGTAGATAACAATGCCTTTAATAATTTTTTTTAAAAAAATTTTAGGATTATTAAAGGCATTTTTTATTATAAAATGCCTTTAATATACCATAATGGTTATAGAAGGCATTTATTCAAAAAAGCACCTTCAATATATCTTTAAATTTAGTAATCCATTACTGAAGGTGTTTGTTAATAATAGACGCCTTCAATATTTTTCCTTAAAAAATTTTAAGAATTATTAAAGGCGTCTTTTACCGTAAAATGCCTTCAATATAATGCCTCACAAATTTTAACACGGTTATTAAAGGTGCATATTCAAGAAAAATGCCTTTAATAATTCCTATTAGATTTTGTTGATAATTAGTGAAGGCATTTGCAAATAACAACACCTTCAATAATTTTCTTAAAAAAAAATTTGGGATTATTAAAGGTGTCTTTTATTATGAAACGCCGTCAATAATTTGTTATAAACTGTTGAAATCTATCATTATTGAAGGCAATTTTCTACTCAAAATGCCTTTTAGAATTTTTATGAATTATAAAATGCATTTTTTGAGGATAAACACATTTAATAAGTTAGTTGGAAATTTTTTTTCTAAATTAAAGGTGTCTTTTTGTAAAAAATGCCTTCAATAATCTCCAATAAAATTTTTAGGGGATTATTGAAGGCTTTGTTCCATGGAAATGACTTTAATAATTAATTTTATATTCATTTCCTTGCCTTGAACATTGAAATTTGCAAACTGCTGGAACACAAAACGATTAAAAGTTGGTTATTCTATCAAACCCTTAAACATATTTCTATCAGACCATTGGTTTCTTTATCACTATCAGTGCCACTGACGTTCAACAAATCAATGTTGCGCACCTCTGGTTTTATCGGTAAGTTTTTTTTTTAGTTTACTGTATTTTTACAATATATGATAGAGATTTTTTATTTTTTTGTTTCCTTAATATTAACATATGCGTTTATATATTTTCATTAACATCATTATAAGCATAGTCGTCCAAGATTCTATTCATGTTACAAGTATGTTGTTTCTATATAGTGTGCATTAAATATTGTGTTTGCTGAACCTTGTCTGATATTGTAATGTCGAATGGTATTGTATAATATTGGGGGTCTAAATCATATATATGCTGAATGGTTTGCTCAACCTTGTTGTTTGATATTATTTTGCTAAAAGGGCTTGTATCAAATTAAGGGGCTGAATTGATGCTAAATGGTGTTTTTGAGTGATTTGCTGAAGGGTATGTCTAAGCACATTGCTGAATGATGTGTTGAATGATATTTTTGTATGTAGTATGATAGTAGTTGTATTAAATTACGTACAGTGTTCAATTTAGACAATCATATTATGTAATTCGTATAATTATGATAAAGATTACAGGTATTATAGACTCCAAAACAACATTATTCTTCTTCTAATGAACATAAACAAGACAAACGTCTAGGCTAAAACAGAAAAAGAAGGGGCCCAAATAAACAAATAAAAGTGATAATATAAAAATTCACGCTGACTTCAATCAAAGTAGACAGCCTATGTCTGAAGAAGCTACCAAGATGACTACTCATATTGGAACCATTGTTCGTCATAAGATTTCAATTACGTACATCGATTAGGGATGAGTTCTTGATGATCTAAAGGATGATATATGGCAATCGATTGTCGTATGTTTATTCAACTATTTCTTAAAATGTGTTAAATGATCATTTAATTAAAATTCAATGTGTTCATACTAATTGTATTAACTTATTTAGGAATGGTTCGACGTCCCAATTGACTGTAAAAAGATTGTGTTGCAATCTGCTGAGAAAGCATTCAGAGACTTTAAAAGCAGATTGATAACCCAATATATTTTACCGCTGGCTGATGAAAGTGCTGTATTGGCCGTTCCACCTGCGGCATATGCAATGTCATAAGTGTTGAAGATTGGATAAATTTTATTCAATATCGACTTTCAAAAGATTTCTCAGTACACAAACCCATTTTCATTAAAAATTGTTTATAAGTCTTTATGCAATATAACCTTTGATCTTCATATGTGATTGACATAATTTGTTGATTTTGTAGAAAATCAAAGAACAACAATGGGACTTTCGAGCCAAACAACAATATCACCATCGGATAGCAAGAAAGGATATAAAAATGTGAAGTATGAGCTTATATGTATTCACACACTTGTTTTATACTCATTAATGAATATTTATGAATATTCATTTCATACATTCTAATTTTTTTATTGCGATAATTTAATAGAAATCAACGAGTTTTGGCACAGAAGTTTTCAAATGGGATGTTTGAAAACAAGGACATCTACAAAAAGATAGATCCTTCACAGATGAAACAATTGAGAAAATGGTAAAAAAGATTATATGTATAATTGCTTTTTTGATATAATGTATGATTGGCATTGTGATTGATGCATGAGTGTATACTAGCTTGTATAGATTTATTGTTACAGCCTAACTTATTATTGTCTTTCAAGATGATTATGCTGCCAAAGTCAAATATGGTGAACTGGCAACCCAATATGGTGAAGATCCTTTATCTTTAGCATTAGGCACTAAATGAAAGCCTGGTCGGGTTCGTGAGGTTGGTAAATTTATCTTGCCATCAACGTTTTATAGTTAACAACCAAAAACCCCACGACTGAGAAATACACAATATGAAGCAATAATGGAGCAATAACAACAACAAATTAATGACAAAAAATAATGCCTCAATGACCAACGGCAAAGACTTGCTGCTTTGGAGTCC